TTAGGCTTTGTAGCCGACCGCTCAATCTTTATGTCTGGCGAATTCTGGCAAAACATGGTTTCCTGCTATGGTGATGTTTGTCGCATCACGGACAAAAGCTCAGCACGGATCCGTCAGGGCCGCCACAAATATAGTCACAATGGTAAGGCAACTCTCCTTCAATGTCTGATTATTTTAATTTATTAATCCCATCCACTTTCCACATCAAACGAAATGTAGGGTACGTAAGCATTTTATTATTATCATCAATCTCATTTACGTATAGTATTTCACTGCTCCTCTATAGGCGGAACTTTTAGTTCTTTATGAACAAGTTTGTCAATTTCACCATTATTAAATTACTCTACCTAGTCATTATGAGCCATTTAATAAATTGTCCATGACCATGATTGCTATTTTTACTTTTCATCTTCAAGCAATTATTTATCTAATCACTTTTACATATATATTCATTTACTTTTAGGTTTCCTATAATCTTTCATTACTTTACTTTATTTCATATTTAGATGTTCTCATGTCGCGTTTTTATGCACCTACGTCCTCTAACAATCGCTTCCCGGAGCAGCAAGCATCCGAATCCTCTTGTACCAGCACAGCTAGAATCAGCTCTAATTCACCTGCGCCTGTCTCTTCGGTCCCTGTACCAATTCCTTTAAGTTTTCGTCTTACTCCATCGGATCCTGAATGTCTCAACACTGTACCACAAATTTCACCTAGCAGTTCATCGGATCCGATGAATAATTCTGCCTCACCCTTCTTGCAGGGCCGTGTGGAAAAGAGAAGAGGCCGCATACGTGGACGGCGCCGGTGCACACGTAGACGTCGCCGCAGCTACAGTCGACGACAAAATCGAATCACTAGTGTTTCACCATCCAGGTTAGTCGAACCAATTAAAGATAAGTATGATTTTCTTTGATTTAGAAAATAATGTAATCTTATTTGGATTACCGACTGTTTCGTCTCTCAGCCATATTTTTACTTCGACATTTACCATTCTGATTTAGGCTGGATCCAGGCCGGCGTTGGGATAGATAGTTTTTTGTATGAATCCTCCCAAACGAAAGACGAAGGGTTGCCAGTGCTTGATTTATTCCTTATAGATATATGTATTTAAGAAATAAGTAGATACGATCGGGTATAGCAACACTTGGCCCCGAGTGGTTTCATGGATGTATTTATGTTTATCTATTTCAAGGAATGTTTGTGAATGAGTATGCACAGATTAGTAAATTGCATATGTTTCATGCTTCATTTTTTACTGATCTGTTACTTAGATAATAGTGTGAAGCAAAGTCCACTGGATATATGGTCTCTTTTAGGAGAATAGATGGATTGTACAAATTTTCGCTTAAAGTAGCTATCGAAATTATGAATAATTTTCCGAAAAGAATGCTTAAGGCAATTTGAGCATTGGTAATGGAATTTTCCAACAATCAACTGAGTAGTCCCCACGATGCCATTGAAATAGCCTTCATTCAGGCTAGAATGAAGTTTCGACCTCGCCTTGGTCTCATCAGCGCTCCAGCGGGATCGATATTGGGCCATGAGTAATGTGGTTACGTTACCACTCCACTGCACGACCATGAGTATTAGTGATGTGATTCTAAACGCCATTCAGGCGTCTCAAAAAACCCATTTATAATGGATTTGTCGATGAAGCATACATGTATTTGCCATTGCAATCGGCGACATTACTTATTTATGGTCTAAGTAGGCTTCGGGACTATCACTAATTTTTGAATAAGTACTTTATCATCTTACGTTGTTAAAGGATTTTTGAATCTGACCAACTAGTATAATTGATTGTGATAACAAATTAAAGTTCGTCTTATCGACAATCCCACTAAAAAATGTCATATGGAATTTACGCCTTGGAATTTACGTCAGTTCTTTTACCCACTAGCATTCGTGGAAGTGCTAGCGGAAACATGTCAAAAATAAACGCTGCATTACTGGTGTCCGATTCCCGGTTTTGTGTTGGGACCCTGACGAAGTCAAAACTTCAGTCCATCCCGGATAATAATATCTTTTAGAGGGTAAGGCTAGGTAAAGTTAAGTGGCATCGCGAGGCTTATTTTGGAAAACTTCAACCAGCAGTCCTTCATTATTTAAATATAGAATGAATACAGTTCGTTATTAGTATTTGTTACCTTTTATCCATGCGGGCCCCTTTTGGCACATTTCCTTATTGTTTAGCCTACTTCTTCCAAAGGTGAGGGATCTAAAACTCATTTGCTTTTCAAGCTTTGCGAGATTACTGTGGCTTCTTTCCCGACGGCATTCTGCTCATTAACAACTTGACCATACAGAATAAACTGAATGATAAAATTAGGGTACCTCATAGATACGAAGAGTAGATGGGTTTCGATTAATCTTCTGAAATAACACTGTTAGGAGAACTTTTATTTCGCATGAAGGTTCATGAAGAAGAGCATCGTAGATTGATCTCACCAGAAGACGGCGGCTGAATTCCGTTGTACTGCAACCGTTTGGTTTTACTATGACGTTCAGGTTGACGCACTCAACGAGATATCCTTCCTCGCTTCGGGTGAAAACGGGCTGAACTTTAGTCCATCATATGATACACATCATCAAAGCTGGAACTAATTTTTGTAAAAGTCTCACATTAACATTTGGTCAGGGACTCGAAAGGAGGGAGGATATTTCGTGGACTGCGTCAACCTGAACGTCGTGATAAAGCCAAATGGCTGCAGACAATGGGATTCAACCGTCGTCTTCTGATGAGATCAACCTAAGAATCTCTTGAAGTTGTTTAACCTTGTCTTAGCAACTTGATTATACTGGTAGGAAGACTTAGAGGAACGCACCTCGTCCGGAGTCCATTGTATGCATAATAATTTCCAAAGTCGGACCGTGGACTTTGCAAACATTATAGTATCGCTCCCCGAATCTGCAATCTAATGAGGAAGTGTCATTCGGTAACAGTTAATGAAACACTTTATCACGCCTCCATCCAGAAATTAGAGGAAAGTTACGAGCTTGAGAGGCGTAAGCTATTTAAGTTCATACATCTAAAGTCTAGATTAAGGAAGGATCTAGATAGGGTTCTCACTTTGGATGATTTTCAAAACCTCCAGAGCATGACAGAGCATAAGTCACAGAGGGTTCGGGATCTGTTAAATAAGAGGCATGACAAGAAATTGCTTAGCTATGGGATAATAAGACAGCACAAGACCAAGCTAATCCGGGCAAATTTTGATGGTTCTTCATTGAAGGCATAAACTGCTACAGACGACGATAAGACAAAGGTAGTAAACCTTTCTTCAATCCTTCTTGATTCTGAAACTACGGATCTCTTAGAAAAAGGGTTACATTTTTAACTAGGTAATGAAGGAAACATTCTTACATTTAACGGCAGTATCTACGATCAAATATTTGGACTACCGATGTGATCTCCACTCTCACTTCATTTGGCAAATGTTAGAAAGAGAATTCGAGAAGTCACCACTGCAACCAAGAGCGCTCATGTGATATTTGGATGACTACTTTGCACTTTGGTCACATGGTAAGAAAAATCTAAATTAATTCCTCAATTTTATTAACCAACTTGACGAAAGAATTAAATTCACAATGGAGGTGGGGGAGGATGAACGGCTACCCTTTCTGTATATTAAAGTCATACGCTTCAAGGGACACTCATGAGGAGACTATACAAGAAGAATTCGTATGCGGGAATAATCCTTTATTTTCCGTCTCATCATAACTACAGACTGAAGATCGGAATACTGAGGAGTTTGATCATCAGAAGCTTACGACTAATGGACAATGAGTTCTGGGACGAGGAGTTGGACAAACTGATACGGATTTGCCTTAGTAACGGATATCCCAGATCATTTATAGAAAAAAATGTAGAGCTTATAAAGGGCTGATTTCAACTTGGATCAGGAATCAGGAGGGCATGCCCTCATCAGAACTATGCCACAGTTGCGACCCTTACTAAGGAAATGGAATATCAAGGTGATAATAAAGGAGAAGAAAACACTTCACCAGTCTGCCGACGCAACACGAGAAGACGTACAAACTTGATTGTTCGGTAGTTTATCTCATCAAATGCGGAAACTGTGAACAGAAGCATATTGGTGAAACAGGAAGAAAAATCGGCCTACAAATCAAGGAACATCAAAGACTCTGCAGGAACATGTATACGAAAAGACCTGAAGCAGCGGAGCACATTGCGAGAACGGGACACGAAATCGACTGGAAATCGACCGAAAGGTTAGCTGTATATGGTGAAAATGCGAGAAAACGCAAGATCCGAGAGGTCATCGAAACACTGACCGAGAGTCATCTAATGAACAGGAGACTTGAAGAATGCAGGATCAGCGAAAACTTTGCATATTACCTAAAAAAACTTAGAGAAGACCAGGCAACAGCAAGCTCGA